ATCCCTCGTAAAAATCTAGGGAAGGGGTTATATCTCCCTTCCCTAAGTTGGACCAAAATTTTTTAATTGGGCTTGAACGATTATCGGCCCATTTACTTCAATGTATATCATTCATGCTTTTGAAATTTGTTCTAAATAATAACCATTCAAAACATGGTGTTAACATGCCATTTTAAGCTTTAGGCCCCGTTTGGTATATGGAATTCAAACTTTGGAATTGGAATTGGGTACCTCAATTTCAATTCTAGTTTTTGATAGCACAAAAATTATGTGGATTTGGAATTGATAGTGCAAAAAATGAATTAGAATTGGTGAATTCAATTCTATAGAATTGAATCACGTGGAATTTTAATGCCAATTCAATTCCAATTCTATCAATTCCACATACCAAACAGACCATTAGAATTTTCCGAATTTTCAAATTGCAATATTGACAAATTTAATCCTAATAATCTGATTCAGCTCACAAAGATGCTCAAAAAAATGCTCATAAATGAATGGTACGATGTATGCAGTTCTGGACCCAATAGTGTTGATTGCCTCGTACAATATGAAAGAGAGGATGATGTTGTCGATTGAGTGAGCAGACAGTCAGAAAGAAGATAAGGGTTTGAAAAATTAAGATCGTTCAAAGAGGGGGAGTGAAGAGGTTTTTTGGATCTATTTAAAGTCTATAGTGGATTAACATTAAATAAGAAATACGAATTAATGGATATTGTCGGTCATTTTGGTCCAAATCGAATGACAATTAGGTATTGACGAACGAGACTGAAATTCAAAATGCTAAAAACCCTAGACCGAAGACCAAACCAAAATCCTTTCGGTCCGGATCTATCAATCCATTTTAGTCTTTTATGTCCATAGTTTCAAAAACTGAACCTGATCGGCCGGTTCGGGCCGTGAAGGAATGGTCCAACCGGTTCGGTCTAGTCGTTTGGGTGCAATCAGACTTGAACCGGTCTAAACCGGTAAGAACTGGCCAGTCGAACCAATTTTTTAATTCTTTTGTGAATTTTTTCAGAAATTCATCATGGGGGTTCGGACATTTAATCTCTTGAATACTTAGTTAAGTTGTCAACAAACCAAGATAAAGCATTTTTTGTTACCTCTCAACTGGAAAATTTCTTCTGAACACTTGGCTAGAGGAGGATCAGATCACACTCCTATCCTCTTAAGAATTTAAAAAGAAGTTTACATGGGGCTCACCCCATTCAAATTCATGAGCTACTTCACAACTCACCACTCATTCATACTCGTAGTCAAGGATAACTGGGGTTCATACAACGGATGGGGTATGAGAGGTCTAATGGAAAACCCCCCAAACTTTGCTGAATTCAGGCCCATTTGTCTTTCTAATTTCATGGCCCAAACTATTTCCAAAATCATGGCTTCCCGATTGTCCTCCATTCTTCCTAAAATCATCAGTCCAGAACAAGGGGGCTTTGTAAAGGAAATGCTCATTCATGACCAGATCCTCATTACCCAAGATATGGTCCATGGTCTCTCTAATGACTGTCGGGGAGGAAACCTAGCTATCAAACTAGACATGTCTAAGGCTTTTGATAGAGTTTCTTGGATATACTTGATGGAAGTGTTGAAAAGACTTGGGTTCGGTGCCAAGTACATGCTCCTCATCCAGAATATTCTCACCTCCACCTCTCTTGCCGTGAATATCAATGGGAAAAACACAAAATCATTGCACACTTCTAGAGGGCTGAAACAGGGTGACACAATCTCACCTTTACTCTTCATCATTGCCTCAGAGGGTTTTAGCCGATCTCTTAAAAATCTTATTTGCAATAAACTTCTTCAAGGTTATAGTATGGGGAGAAACTACCTACCCATAACACACCTGGCTTTTGCAGATGACCTCATCATCTTCCTTAATGGTACCTCCACCAACCTCACCAAATTTCACAAATTTTTAAAAACTTATGAACACTGCTCTGGTCATAAGATCAACCTGGACAAAAACAGCTTCTACCCCCCCCCTCACAAAACCCCACCTCAGCGAATAGAAACCATGTCCAAAATCTTGGGAATGAAAAAAGGCGACCTGCATTTTAAATACCTTGGGGTCCAATCATCAAAGATATCAACAGAGCACCTTACTGTAAAGATCTCATTGATCAGTTGGATAAGAAGCTTAAAGGTTGGTATAGAAAACACCTCACTCCTAGTGGTAGACTTATTCTTATCAAACATGTCCTCAACTCTATACCCCTCCAAACCCTCACTGGGAACAAAATCCCTAAATCTGTCACTACCCTCCTCAATAAAAAGATGTGATCTTTCCTTTGGGGAGACAATAAAGGAAAAGACAAGTATCATTGGGCTTCATGGGACAAGATTTGTATGCCGGAAGAAAAGGGAGGTCAGGAAGTTAGGTCCTTGGCCACTCTACAGGAAGCCTATAGCCTCAAGTTGTGGTGGACTTATCATGCAAATAATTCACTATGGAGTCAATTCATGAGAATGTACTTTAACCTACTATGCAAGGAGAATCCTTGTCAACTCAATGCCCATTATGCAAGGAGAATGAAGACTCAACACTTCACACTTTGATTCAATGCCCCTATGCACGAAACATTGGAAACTACTTTGAATGGATCTTCAAAATTCCATGGCAAACAACTCATGGGGTGAGAGCTCACCTGCAAAGATGGTGGAGCAACTACAATCTCAAGACGCTCGAAGATTGGATCAAAGGTATCCTACGCAGCAATCATGGAAATTTTGTGGCAGCCAACACATGAAACATCAACGCAAGCAATATTTTAGAAGGAGAAGCATGGGTTTTACTTAATGGACTAAATTTGGTCAAATGTTTCTCCAACAAGATTTGGGCTCACACAGACTCGGAGACAATCACAAAAGCAATGCATGGAAACAAAAACCAATGAGTTAATCGAGAGGTTGGACAACTGTTTAACGAGCAATCCAAGAAGATGGAAACAATTTGCGTCTGATTTACAGAGAAGGAAATATGGGAGCACATAATCTAGCCAAATGGGCTAGCAAGAAAAA